CTTTCTTTCTTTCTTTCTTTCTTTCTTTCCGTCTGTCTTTCTGTCTTTCTGTCTTTCTTTCTTGTACCAGGAATCAAACTCAGGGCATTGTGCTTACAAGGCAGGTGAAGTGCCACTGAGCTAAATCCCCAGCTCTTATGAGCCTGCTTTTCTATTGGATGGTGCTCGATATATATTTTGCTCATACCTTCTAACAACACTCAGGAAAGAACTGCCAGAACTGCTTCAGAAAGTGTCAAGAACCGTGGGATAAATATGTTTGAAGCAAGGGGAGGATTTTGAAGAGGATTAACAGCAATGTGTCTCTAGCTGTAACAAGTTTTTCAAAATTTAAACATTGGCTGTCTATTTCAATCATACCTTGTCCGTAGATAAGAGATCCTAGGATTCCAAAATAAACTGAACAGAACACAAGCTTTTCACATGACTGCAGGATATGCACAGTTCCCTCAAGGCCATTGCATCTCCAGATCCAACTGTGTAGCTCGTCAACACTGATTACTTCTCTCCAGGCTATTTAGTTTGGAATCTGCTTGGTATGGGAGTCATTGGTCTAGATCTAGATGTGTAATCCTTTGAAATAGGCCTCACATATCCAAAACTATTGATAACAACTTCTAGTATATGAGAATGGAAATGTAAACTGGCGCCAGATCTAGACAAAGGAATTTGAGTTTTATACAATATATTAGTGGAAGCTTTTAAACATTTATAAAATGCAAAGCATTCAGAGTTGATTGTTGGAAAGGCTCAATCTTGATCACCGTCTGGCTGGACTGCATAGTGTGGGATCTCCAATCCAGACCAAAAGGAAGATGTGGATTTAGTTCTGTTGGAAAGATACAAGGGAATAAGACTTTTGTGACTGTCCATTATAAAGAACTCTGCATAGTATGTTTAGATAACTAATGATAGTTTGGTCAAATAATATGGAGAGAATTCCGAAATGTATTACTAAGGGAAAACACAAGGTGCAACACAGTGCATATGTGTTGTCGTCAGGGTTTACAAGGGAATAGGTTAATACAGGACACATAATTTATAGGATCATTTTATAATATTCACCCAAACAGTCAAATGCAAGGAGTGCAAGAGATCTAACTGCACACTAGAGACCCAAAGGATCCAGCCAACAGCCTGGATCCCACGGCAATGTCCCACACAAGTTGAGTTGAAGGCCTAGAGTCCAAGGCAATGTCTTCTATGAGTCCAGCCAG